TTTTTTATGTTTTTTTTTTTTTTTTGCTGAAGAGTAATGCACCTAAAACCAATGTTATCATTAACTAAAACTAAATAAAGTTTTAATAAACTGGAATAAAATTGGAATAAAGCTAAAATAAGTAAAATATAAATATTAGCTGTGAAAACTTTTTTTTAAAATTACATTTATTTAATTTCAGTTAGGTATGAAGGCTACATTTCCTATTTTTTTCCTATTTTTTTATTTAAATTATTTAAACTAAAACCGAAATAAAATAAATTAAAGCTAAATAGAAATGTTTAAAAAAACTGAAAACATTTTATTTTATTTTGTTTAATTTAATTAAATTTTATCTTAAAAAGTAAAGCCTCTAAAACTAGTGTTGTTATTGTTAACTAAAACTATTAAAAATGTTTCATTCATTGAAATAATGCTTAAATAAAATAAAATTTAAATATTAGATGTAAAAACCTAAACTTATTTTAGTTAGTTGCCAAGGCAACATGTTTAATTTTTTTGTTGAAGTACTAAAACTACTAAAACTTAAATAAAAATAAAATAAAGTTAAATAGAAATATTTGTAAAAACAACTAATGAAAATGGCATGAGCACATAATAAAGTAACTAAAATTAAAATGAAAACTGAAAATATAAAAATGAAAGCTAATTCAAAATAAATATATAATATAATACTAAAATACCATCTATCTAAATAAACAAAAGATGAAATCTATTTTAAATGCATTACTCATTGAGACTGTAGCAAATATAATTAGATAAACGCATGATGTGATTGGCTGCTGTGCACTCATAGCTCTCCTGTGATTGGCTCAGGCCTGACGGAGCAGCTGCGTTCAGTGAAGGTGACGGTGAACGAGGGTCTGGATGAGATGAACAGCAGGTTCCTGCTGGAGGAGACGAGCGGCTCGCTGGAGAAGATCAGGACCTTCAGTCTGACACACTGCAGATCGACTGCGGAAGATGAGTTCAGGCATGAAACACTTGTCTGCTTTACGTCTGCGCAGATACTCGGATGTCCCTTCCAGCGTGTAATGATGTGTGTGTGTGTCTGTGTCTGTGTGTGTGTGTGTGTGTGTGTCTCTGTGTGTGTGTGTGTCTCTGTGTGTGTGTGTGTCTCTGTGTGTGTGTGTGTCTCTGTGTGTGTGTGTGTCTCTGTGTGTGTGTGTGTCTCTGTGTGTGTGTGTGTCTCTGTGTGTGTGTGTGTCTCTGTGTGTGTGTGTGTCTCTGTGTGTGTGTGTGTCTCTGTGTGTGTGTGTGTCTCTGTGTGTGTGTGTGTCTCTGTGTGTGTGTGTGTCTCTGTGTGTGTGTGTGTCTCTGTGTGTGTGTGTGTCTCTGTGTGTGTGTGTGTCTCTGTGTGTGTGTGTGTCTCTGTGTGTGTGTGTGTGTGTCTGTGTCTGTGTGTGTGTGAGCAGGTCTGCAGTGTCTGTGCTGGAGAAGGTTCAGGAGGAGATGTCAAAACCGTTCAGTCACAACCGCTTCAGACAGGAGAACATCTCCACAACCCTCACCACACACAGCCAGCGGCTCCTGCAGGTCCAGGAGGCCCTAAACACAGCCGAGAGCCACAGCAACCACAGCAGACACCTGCTCGACGACATCCAGACCAACCTACAGACGCTCACAGTGAGTCACGGCTTCATCAGAGGATGCATGTGATCAAAAATACAGGAAAAATCTGAAATATTATTATGATTTAAAATAACTATTTTTTTATGTGAATATGTGTTAAACTAATTTATTTCTGTGATGCGCAGCTGTATTTTCAGCATCATTACTCCAGTCTTCAGTGTCACATGATCTTCAGAAATCATTCTAATATGCTGATTTGCTGCTCAAGAAACATTTCTGATTATTATCAATGTTGAAAACAGTTGTGCAAAATATTTTTTTTTAAACAATAATAAAAACTAAAATAAAACACTTACTAAAAAAGATTTGATATTTTATCTGTTTACTTGCATGTCATGTGACAATTAGCACACATCAGAGAAATGTGAGCATGCAAATGTGTTAAATAATTATAAATTAATTTCAAGAAAATGTTTTACATCCAAGGGGTTCGGCTGTCAAAAAAGTGCTGTACATCATCAGCAATATTTTATTTTATTTTATTTTATTTTAAAGGTCCCATATTGTACACCTTTCTGGAGTTTTATTTGAGGTTTTGATGTCCTTAAGAATATATATTTGCGGTATAAGTACCAAAAACTAGGGATTGATGTGCGCCGAATCAGTCGCTGTAGAAATTGAATATTGGAATGGCTGTGGATGAAATAGCTCAACACGAGAGCCAATGCTAATGTCATGGCATGTGAAATAAAACGCCATCATGCTTTAAAGACGAGTGACTTGATTGTGGCTTGATGCTGGAAACAGCAGATGATGGGCACAGAACAGTAAAAAAAATCTCAGACATTTACAGTCACACACAGGTGTAGTAGTGTTCAAACTCTACTACTCTAAACTCTACTTATATAATAATATAAGATAATATAACTATATAAGAATTCATGTTCACATTTTTTGAGAATTTTTTTTCATGAAAATATTTGTTTTTTTATATTATATTATATTATATTATTTTAAAGAATTGAACCGTTCTGTGTGAGATTTTGAAAAATATTTTTAAATAGAATTTCTTGGTAACACAGCACTGTAAAAATGTTTTCTCAGGTAACCTAAAATGTGCATCATTTAGTCACATCAAAGGTCAAATCAAATATAAATAGCACATTAAAGTCAAAAGTACACACTTTTTTGTGTGCGCTGTAGAGCTCTGGTATAAATGTTTTTGCTCAGGTGGCTGAAATGTCCGGCCAATAGAGAAACGTTTGCTCCGCAAGAAAACAAAAAATTTTGAGGGACCATTGATCATCATATGTTCAGAATTCATGATGATATTAGAAAGCTGTTTAGTGATGCTGCTGTGTGTGTTTTGTGTCAGACGTCTGAGTCCGAGCACTCGCTGACTGAGCAGGGGAAGACAGCGCTTCAGAAGAGCTCAGAGATTCTGGACACCAGCGGATCCCTGAAGAACCACACAGAAGGTGAACACACACACACACACACACACACAACACCTGATCCCCGAATCAGAGCTTCGCTGTTACATTGATACATTTCCTGCCCGGTGTGTTTTACTTATTTTAAGCAATCTGGCAACCATGATCTGAAAACAGCGACAAACACGCTGGAGTTTAACGATCTAAATGAAAGCGTCATTCAGTGTTCTGTCAGGAGATCTCGACTGTATTGTTTGCGATTGTGATCGCTGAATAAATGCACTTACTCAACCGCTGTTGTTTTAATAGAGAAATAGGCTATTGCAATTAGTGGAATTACTAGGAATTTAACTGTTATGTTTTTCGTTTGTTTTAGCTGTTTTCATAATGTAGACAGAGAGATTGCATACGTCTTTGGTATTCAATTATATACACTAGATGAGGTAAAATACACCATGTATGTGTCCACATTCTATTGATTTGTGCTTACTGGTG